GTGTGAATTATCAAAGACGCGATCTGAGGGAATCGCCGACATGTCGCTGACGCCCGCAAAATATTTGGCATGCTAAATATCTGCAGCTGTCGGCGATTCACAATCACACTGTGTGCAATGATTTCTGACATCGGCGATAATCTACAGCCAATGAGAGACCAAGATACAGGGCACAATTATATCATACAGAAACAAGCACAAACATTTGCTTGACCAGCCACAACATCAGCATAACAGTTACTGCTAAATTATTTACCACCAACTCTCTTTGCAGAACACCCAATCCCTGTTCCCTGCATCTCCCTCCTGCATAATCTCTTTTTCTTTTTCTGCTTGTAGCTGGAAATCAGCTCACAAACAATTTGCGGGCTATATATATCTTTTTTTAATAATTACAGTCTTGCTCGAGAACTCCGGTCTGATGCACGCGGGTTCTCGCGTTATTTCCTTATCACTTCTCGCGTGTGTTTTGCACGTTGTGAAACGTAGTTTGCGGACCAGACAGAACTGTCTGTGATTCTTCCTATTGTGAAGTCATGCAGTGTGAAACCCCCTGTCGCCGATCCATCGTGCAATGTGAACACAGCAGCAACTGAATGCTACCCCAGATAGTCACGCAGTGTGAAAACAACGACGATCCGACGAGTTTGAAAATCATGCAGTGTGAACTCGGCATAAGTCTTAATTCAGTTCTGCATCCATCCAGGTGACGTCGTGGAGTTTCATGGCTTGGAGGGCACAGGAAAGACAGAAACCTTGTACCACCTCATCACCCGCTGCATCATGACAGTCCAGAGTGGAGGTCTGGAGGTGGCGGTGGTCTTCGTTGACACTGACTACCACTTTGACATGCTGCGCTTAGTGAGCGTTCTGGAGGGGCGTTTGGCTGAAGGCTCTAAGGAGGGTGATGGCTCTGAAAACGAATCCGAGGAGAGGGTGCGTTCATGTCTGTGCAGGCTGTCTGTAGTGCACTGCAACAGCTCAGTACAGCTCCTCCTAACCCTACAGTACCTCGAAAACACCTTTTCCAGCCAGCCCTCCCTCGGCCTTCTGATCATCGACAGCATTTCTTCCTTCTACTGGGTGGACAGATTCAATGGCGGCGAGAGCACTGTTTGTCAGGAGGCTAACCTGAGAAAGTGTGCCGAGTTGCTGAACAGACTCCGCAGAAACTATGGCATTGTGATTTTTGCCACTACTCATGCCATAATGAGGAACTATGGATCTGATCCAGGGGTGTCAGAAGTGCCCGGCTCATCATCATCATCATCATCTCGCAGGTGGAGGTCAGCTGATAGCGCTACAGACTTTGACAAGCCCTACCTGTGTAAAGCATGGCAGAGAATAGTAACTCACAGGATGCTGTTCACTAAAAGTCATGTGTCAAAGGACCACAAGCAGGTTTTCTCCACAGCATGTACCAGCATAATGACCAAAGGTGTCAAAAGATGCTCGTTTCATGTCATGGAGGACGGTATTAAGTTTGTATGTGACAAGTGAGCATGTACTGAAATTCTCAGCACGGGACATATTTGCTTTTGGGTTGTCTCACAATTAGGAGGGCTACTTGGTGGACAAAAAAAAAATCTTACAATTTCCAATTATTGTCTGTCAGGGTTAAATGATCAATGCAATACTTTTTCTGTTTTCTTTACTAAAGAAATAATTGCAATGGACCATTAATACAGAAAACTATGTTGGTTTATGGTGTAGTTTAATGAAGACCTTATTGTATTCACTTTCCATGGAAAAATAAAAAAAAATGCATTTTTGTCACTTTTATTTATATAGCGCTTTATGCAATAGAGATTTTCAAAGTAACTTCACAATAATGTGGAAAATAAGCAAATCCGTGATGCAGACATATGAGATAAATTGACAATAGTGTCATTGATTCACTTCAGTTTAATAACAGTAAAGTTAATTGATTATGAAACAACTTCAATTCTGTTAAAAGCAGCTCAAGACAGTTCTGTTATTCAGCTCAAATCAATTAAATGACAGTATCAATGTTGCAAAATTGATGAATTATGAAAAACAAATTTGACTTGACTGCAAAAGACAGTGGCATTATTCAGTTCAGTTGAGTTTAAGATTTGTGTTCATCATCTGATTGTGTTAGTGCCATCAAATCAATAATAATACGTGTCTATATGGATGTAGAATACGTGGGGGACAAGTAGAGAAATAACATTAAGAATGAGAAGGAAATAAAACACAGAAGCTTTTGTGATTGTTCCATTCTTTTATCCAGTCAGCATACAGGCAGCTCTTAAGTATAACCATTAACATTAAAAGTAAAAAAAAACAAAAAAAAAACACTGTTCCTTTAAATAGATCAAGTGCACCTGCAGAGAGCCTAATGGTTGGCGTACAAGTTTGTTTACAAGAGGGAAAAAATAATAGACATAAAAGACCATAGTGCACACAAGTAAAGTGCAAAATCAAATCGGATGCCATTATGAAATAAAATAAATAAATAAAAAAGCCTATTAAAGTTAAATATTAAAACTTGTATAAATCTGTCTTGTTGACCATGGCCAGATCATCTGTGGGTCAAAAGCGTCCAGTTCTTCTTCTTTGATTTGACACACACAGAGCTCTATTTTTATTCACCAGCGGACAGCGACTGTGTGCACTTTGGCTCAGATATGGGCATGTCACGTTCCCACTGAGCTCTTTCAGGTAGTGCGAGGTGAACTCGGCTGCACACTCCTGGTTGTGTTTACAAAAGCGACAAATCTTATGGCACTTACCCTTGAAAGGGCTCCCTTCCTCCCATATCTGTAAGCATGCACTTTAAAAAAAAAAAAGGAAAGATTCAGTGGCTTAGTAAAGATCACAGTCAAGTTTATTACCTTAAAAATATCTGATTATCACATTGATTGAGTTGGACACACCTAAATAAATGCCTAAAAATCCAACTGTTAATTTTGTCTAAGTTTACAGTTATATTTAGCAAACAAAAAAAAAAAAATCTAATAAGTATGACTAAATTAAATTTGTACCAAGGGGGCATTACCCCACAGGTGGGGTAATGCCCCCATGGGTGGGGTAAAATGCCCCCTGTCTTACAAAGCAGTTTGCTTTATACATTTACAGCAGAATCAGAGTACAGGCAGTTTTAGCTTAAAAATAAAAAGATAATAGTCAATAATTATGAATTACAAAATTATAACAGCCTGTTCGAAAAATATTGTTTGCTGATGCTAACTAGCTAGCTAACTAACTACCTGATGCTAACTTGAGGTAGCCTACTTTTTAAATATAAAATCCAAATATTTTTATTCAACCAACTAGTTAATATACATTTGATAGTAAAACAAAGGATTTGATGTTCAGAACAGAGTAACTACAGTAATTAAGCTATGCCCCCGGGGTTAGTTTACCCCACAAATATGAAAATATAATTATATTTTTCTTAAATAACATGTACTCCCTATCTACAGGCCTTACTATTCTCATATCATATACAACCGATGTTCTACAAAGTCTACAAGAAAAAAAAATCTTGACTTTATCTAGTGGTTATTTTGGGAAAAACAGTAGGGGGCGTTTTACCCCACTTTTCCCTGTATGAGACCTTTTGGAATATCAGTCACAGCATGTTTCAGATGAATAATAATAAAAATAATAAAACGTGACTTTTTACGGGCCGTGTGCATAAAGCATGACACCAAGGCTATGCAATTCTATGATTACATTTTTTTTTCCTTCCCAAGACCACCCACATAATACGTTCCCACCAATTATGAGACAAGTGTCTCATCAGACTGAAGCCCTGTACATCCTCTCATTAGTCAGTGGGGTGCTTTAAAAATAATTCTCTGTGAACTGGGTGAATACTACGCAATTTGCATTTAGCTTTAGCACTTCATCAGCTAACAAAAAAAGAATAATTAGGCCACAAATGGGTTGTTTTTACACAGGAAAAAACTAGGGGGAACTTTATTCAGCCTTAAAGTGGCTAAAATGGACATAATTAGAGAATTTTATTGTCATGCCAAATAGGTGTGTGTGTGTGTGTGTGTGTGTGTGTGTGTGTGTGTGTGTGTGTGTGTGTGTGTGTGCGCGTGCGTGTGTGCAAAGGTCCTAATTGCTGTTATTTATACATTTTTATTTTATGTTAGAGGCAGAAAGGGGTCATCTATAGGCTAGAGAATATGTATTGAAAAATTAGCCCTTAAAAATCCCTGAAGTGTTTGTTATTGAAAACAATCAATTTTGTTGTTAAACACTGAGGACACCCTTTTGTAACCAGTCCCATGCACAAGCTCTCACACACACAGTGTGGATCATTCAGTGAGGGAAAGAGGAAACGTGTCGAAGCAGAGCGATGAAAGCATCAGTGAGACACTGTCTTTCAAACACTGGTGCTTCTTTCAGGCCAAGAAGCTCATTTCCTCTTGCACCTGGACTGCTTTGGACATCTTCCCTAGAATCCTTGACCTTTAATGAGCCCCTTTTTATTAGGAAAATAGAACACAGAATTACCAATGTACTAATGAAACACTTCTTTTATGTGTTTTATTCTTTTATCTTTGGTTTATTTTCTGTAGTTACAATAAAAGTTGTAAATAACTGAGATGGAATAGTGTGCATTTATTTGCTGCTTTGTTGAATTTGTCTACATTGCTTGTAAAGAAACAAAAGACTTCATCTGCTTAAAGAAAAAAAATGAAACAGGACACTGGAATTGGACATTTGTGAGCTTGTGATAATTACTGCTTGGTTTATGTCATCAAAATCATGTAAATGTTTTGTGTCTCTCTCTTTTTTTCATTTTGCCATAATAATATTCTTCAACGTATGTGGATATTTTTTGTGTGACCTCTTCTTTATTGTTGTCGTATGCTTTTATTTATTTTAAGTATGTATTTAGAATAGTGTAGTGTAATAGTGGTGGGGTGATAGTGTATATATAATAGAAATTAAAAGAAAGAAAGAAATGCACTGGTAACTTTACACGTGTAAATAAATGTATCCTATATGCAAACTATTAACAAAGAGAAATAAAAAGTTTACTTTGTACTAAAACAAACAAACATATACTAATATTTGGTAATTTGCTGGGGTGTTTTAGAATGCTAAATTCTCGGACAATTTAGAAATATAATGTAATAACTGAAAATATGTGCTGAAAGATGATGAAAGAGTCTGAGTTAAGTAATACTGACTTTGTCCGCCGATAGGCGACATGAACTCAATCCAGCTCAATTTCCAGAGTCTTCTTCCGCGTTTTACCGTCCACCGCTGACGACTGAGAAGACTTTTTACCTTGAGTATGTCCCTATGTATCGCTCCGCAGGGTCGGTGAGACTTTTTAAAAATATCTCCATGCCGTTTTAAAGCGAAATAACTTCTATCTTTAGCACATCACACGTCATATATTCGGTTTGTAAATGTTCTGTAAGAGTTGTGCGCAATTTAATACTAACACTGTCTTAAACGTTAAAGTGGGTCTATTTGTCCGTTGCAGTGACAGGCAGTGTTTCGGTCTCTCTTAAACATGGCCACCATGATGGAGTAAACGCTACAACTTTAAAATTCATATAATCGAGGAAAACTATGCTTCTTTCACCCAAATGAGGAATGTTTCGACCTGAAATATCGTACCAAGCGCCTAATCCACATGAGAGCTTTGGGAAAAGTTTCTTGGATTACATTCTGAATTAAGTTGGCTGGAAACTGGAAAGGAAAAAAGAATTGCATCAATTCCGTAAGCATTAGCTACGCTTCATCATTCCTCACGCTTTCCGCCGTATTGATTTGTTTATATGTTGGTGTTTGTAGTTTATGTTTTGGCGAAAGGTGCGAAATTTTGATGTTTGAAGTGGAACGCAAGTGTTATTTGGGTTTTCATCGGAAAGTGGCGATAGTTGCAGCCTGTGTGAGTGTGAAGAGTAACATTGAAGCATTCTAATGACAGATTATAAAGTCTGAGAGCGCGCATGTATCATTCAGCGGCTATACGTCTTGGTTTGACCGAGGTCTTTAACTAATGACAGATTACTCCCTAACCTTCAGAATAAACGAAAGGGTTGTATTTCGTATCGGACTGTAAAGGACAACGAGGAAGTAACGAGAAAATATCTATCTGGTTATAAAATAAGTTTGTATGCCGTTGGTTTCAGTCCAGAAGAGTAGTGTGGCCCGACGTTGTTTAGGTCCAGCCATCTTACTCCAGTCAAGTTAAGAGCTAGGCTACTAAACCAACTAGTTTCCCTCAACCCAGACTTTATCCTCAGGGCTAACCTGCTGCTTTAAAATGCTGATTGCATAACTGGGGATTCTAAATTCCTTAGTTGTGAGAGATTTAATCAAGTTATTACGATATAGATATACTTTTCCAGCTTGTAAGGGTTAGCTGACATGACATGTCAGGCATTGACAGCAGTGTGACGTGTTATACGGCGTCGATAACTACTATTTTCTCTTTCATGAACATAGTTGGAAGTTTTTAAGGAGCTCATATTCGTTGAGGGACTATATGTTTTGGTATTTTTTCTTTAAAACCAATTTTGTCCTTTTTTACGAAATTGCGTTACCTTTTATTTATACTATACAGTTCATGTATTGTATTTCTAGGCATGGTAAATAAGGTTGTATTTGTCATCCACCCAAAGACTCTTTAAGACTATGTTTGGAATGGCTTACTTTTTACTGTGCACATTATTCATATTTTCTGTATGAAATGAATACCTTAGATGGCTTTATTGTTGTATATTGT